ACTTGTCATATAGTAACAATGTTTAACAATTTGAGGAATACTCAACTGCTTCCTAAAGTGACTGCACCGTTCTACATTCTGACCTACAATGTTGCAACTTCACGTACTCACCAGCACTTGCCATTGTCTTTATTTATACCCATCCTAAAAGATGCAAAGTAGTATTCTCGTTGTGGTTTTCATTTGTACTTCCTAATGACAAAGGTATTAATTATATTTCATGTGCTTACAAGCTATTTGTGTATATTTTTTGGAGAAATGTATACTCAAATCCCTTGACCATCTTTTGTCTTTTTACTTTTGAATTGTAATTTTTATCTATTGAGTACAATTCCCTTACCATATATATGATTTGAAAATACTTTCTCCCATTCTGTGGGCTCACTTTCTTGAGTTCTTTAAAATACTAAAGTTTTTCATTTTAATAAATTCCAATGTATCTTTTTTTTGTTTGTTTGTGCTCTTGGTGTCTTATTTAAGTTGTTCTCTAATTCAAGGTCACAAAGATTTACACCATGTTTCTAACATTTTTACAGCTCTGTCTCTTAACATTTAGATCTTTGACCCATTATGATTTTTATGCATTGTGTGAAGTAGGTATCCACGTGCATTCTTTTGCACGTGGATATCCAGTTGTCCCAGCAGCATTTGTTAAAAAACTGTATTTTTCTCATGGAATTGTGTTGGCATTCTGGTCAAAAATCAATAGGTCGTAAATGTAGAGGCTTATTTCTGGATTCTCAGTTCTATTCCACTGATTTACATATTTATTCTTATTTCAGTACTACACTGTCTTGATTACAGAACTGTGGTTTCAAAATGGGGAGTTACAAGTTTTTCACCTTTATTCTTCTTTTCAAAATTACTTTGGCTATTATGGATCCGTTGCATTCCCATATAAATTTTAGAACCATCTTGTCAATTTCTGCAACAAAAAGGTAGCTAGAAATATGCCAGGAATTGCATTGAATCTATGGATCAATTGGGGGAATACTGCTCTTTAGACAAAATTAAGTCTTTTGATCCATGAACACTGGCAGTCTCTACATTTATTTAGGTCTTTGTTAACTTCTTTCAACAGTAATTTGTAGTTTTTGTATAAAAGTCTTGCATTTCTTTTGTCAAATTTATTCCTAAGCATTTTATTCCTTTAGATCTGTTGTAAATGGAACTTTTCTTAACTTCATTTTAGGGTTGTTCATTGCTAGGATATAGAAGTACAATTGATTTTTCTATTGATCTTGTGTTCTGCACTCTTGCTGATCTCATTTATTAGTTGTAAGCTTTTAGTAGATTCTTTAGGGTTTTCTACATACAGGATAATGTCATCTACAAAGGTATTTTTAATTCTTTTCCCATCTAAATGCTTTTTGGGTTTTTTTTTTCTTTCTTTTTCTTTTTTTTTTTGTGGCCTAATTGCCCTGACTAGAACCCATATAATGTTTAATAGAAGCAGTGAAAGTGGATATCCTTCCTTGTTCCTTATTTTAAAGGAAAAGCTTTCAGTGTTTCAGCTTTTAGTTTGATATTAGTCATAGTCCTGAAAATAAAAGCCCCCATTCCTGATAACAGAGGGAACAGAACTCATTCACAAAGAATTGTAATTATTTGTTTTGACCAGTTTTGGTAACTTTCTAGAAGAACTAGCTTTTGTCTAACTTGAAGTTGGCCCAGAGTTAAGGCTGCTACCTAGGGGAAATCTGAAAACACGAACAGACAAATGATTCAGTTGCTGCTGCCTGAAGTGATAGATAATATTTGAGGCAAACAACAGACTTAACCAAAACGCCAGGTAGGAAAGGCTGGGAAATGAGATGTTCAAAAGGGCTCCATAAAGCTCCAACATATTCCTGGGAATCTAAAAGGCCACATGTATGGCAGGACCATGTGTATGCTAAGGAAAGACTTGAGAAGGCCCTGAGCTGTCATCTCCTCTCACCTGGAGGCTGTGCCAAAGTATGAGGTGAGAGCAAAGGCAGAGTTGTAAAGTGCCTGGTTGAGTGAGGATCCACCACAAAAAAAGCAGTACCTTGGCACAGACTGGGAGATGTTTTCTACTTGGGATGTTTCAGGAAATCTCTAATTATTGGCTGACCATTAAGCCAAAATAACAGAGACTTTGGTGGCCACATATGACAAAGAACAGAGATTTTAAAAATTTAATTTAGAAAGGTTACTAAAAAACAACTACAATAAGCAGCAACAACAAACCCTGGGGCAGGGAAGGAAAGAGGTAGAGACTCTGATTTTCAAAGTTGCCACAAAGGATATTTTAAATATCCTATTTTCAACAACAACAAATTACAAGGAATGCAAAGAAAGAGAGAAATATTGCCCACACGTAGCAGGAAAACACAATTAACAGAAACTCTGAGAAAGTCCAAACATCAGAAATACTAACAGACTTTAGCCATTTTAAATATAGTCCAAGAACAAAAGGAAGCAAATCAAGTTTAAAGACCAAAAGGAAAGTAACAGAATGATGTCTCAACCAAATACAGACAATAAAGTTATGAAAAACATCTTTAATTTTAAAACTGTCTACATAAAAGTTAAAAAGGACAATAACTGAAAAAAATTCACTAGAGTAGCTCAGTAATGGATTTGATCAGTCACAAGAGAGAGTCCATGAACTTAAAGGCAGGTCAACTGGCGCTGTCCAGTTTGAGGAACAGAACACGGCCTCAGAGACCCGTGGGACACCATCAAGCATAACAGCATACACATAATGTGTGTCTCAGGTGGAGAGATGAAAGCATCAGGAAGAATATTTGAAGAAATAAGGATAAAAAAAACTCTCCAAATTTGATGAAAAACATTAATCTATCAAACCATGATGCCCCAGAAACTCCAACTAGGATAAACTCAGATGGAAGCACACATATCATAATCAAACTATTAAAAAACAAAAAAATCCTGAAAGCAGCCAGAGAGAAGTGTTTAATTTTTCATCAGAAACCAAGGATCTCAGGATGCAGAGATGACAAAGTGCTGAATGGAAAACAAAACAAAACAAAACCACCAACCAAGATATATTCAGCAAAACTATCCTTTAAAAAGGAGGAAAAAAGACATTCCCAGATAATTCCCACCGCTAGCAGATCTGTGCCACGCACACACACACAGCTACAGTGAGTCCAGAATGAAAGGACACTAGATAGTAACTCGAACCCATACAAAGAATACAGAATAAAAATAAACACACCAGCATAGGAAAACATAAAAGGGTAAATATATTTATTTGTATTTTCCCCCTCCTAACGTAAAAGACATGTACATAAAGCAATAGTTATAAAACGATGTTAATGGGCATGCAATTTATAAAGACATTTGTGACAGTATCAGCAGGGGGAGGGAATGAGGCTACATACGGCAAAGTTTTATTATTGAAATAATTTTGTATCAATCCGAATTAGATCAGCTGTACAATCTAATAAAAGTACTATATAACTTTTGTCTTTTTAATTTGTTCATTTATGAATTTAGTGTCATATTTAAGAAGGCTTAGCCTTAAAAAGGTCACAAGTATTTGCTTCTATACTTTCTTCTATAAACTTGTTTATATTTTGGTTTATGATCTAATTTAATTGTTGTGTATGTGAGGAATACTGTTTTTATTTCTGTCAGTGCTTTTGACTTCATAACCTCTACCAATCTATCTGCTTGTTTGCCGATTCCTCTTCCAGCTGCCAATATACGCCTTCTGTGGGACACAGGTGTGTGGAAAGTGAGATCTATCAAACAGGGTATATTTAATCTTACACGCAGAAACACTGTATTCCTGGTCGGTTTTGTGATTTTCTTCTTTTGACAGCTTCATACTTGTATTATAAATGGGCCTTCCGTTACTGTTTCCCAGATGATTCCTGTTAAGCATTCAGGAAAGCTAATTTGCAGTGTACTCCTTTGAATTTTCAAAATATTGAAACCAAGTTATTTGCATATAGTAGTAATTTGGTCTCTCTCCAAGTTTTACATTTTGCTTTCCTTTTATATTCGCATGAAGTAATTGATAATAGCAGGTATCTGTTTCACTCCTTAATTGAAAGAAGCAATTTCAGTTACAACCTGAACCTAAGTTCAATTTTGGTTGAAGGACTCAAACTACTAGGGATTAGCCTTAGCCGCTGTGGTTCAGCAAATTGAGCACCAGCCTGTGAACCAAAAGGATGCCAGTTCAATTCCTAGTCAAGACATATGCCTGAGTTGGGGGCCTGCAAGAGGCAACCAATTGATATTTCTTTCCCTCTCTTTCTCCTTTCCCCTCTGTCTAAAAATAGAGACTTCTGGCCAACATGGGGGCAGAGGTAGACACATTGTGCCTCCTCACACAACAAAATGAGGACAAGAACAATTTTAAAACAAAAAAACAGTACTGACAGAAAATTGAACTGTATGAAAGTCCAACAACCAAGGAGTTAAAGAAGACACACTCATCCAGACCAGTAGGAGGGGCAGAGGGGGGGGGCACAGTGGAGAGGTCTCACAGAAAAGTGACATCTATGCTGGGTGTGCAAGGTGGCAGCCAATGGACCCAGGGAGGTGGCAGATTGCGAAGCAGGGTGCAGCGCACAAGGCAGCTGGCAGACCGGGCAGTCCCACATTTGCATGCAGATAAACCAGGTGAAACTGGGGAGCAAGACAGATCGTGCAACCCAGGGTCCCAGTGCAGGGAAATAAAGCCTCAAAACACTGACTGCAAACACCTGTGGGGGTTGAGGTGCAGGAGAGACTCCCAGCCTCACAGGAGAGTTTGTTGGAGAGACCCACAGGGTCCTAGAACATACACAAGCCCACCCACACGGGAATCAGCACCAGAAGGGCCGTTTGCTTGGGGGAAGCAGGGGAAGTAACTGAAATCCAGCAGGCGGAACAAGTGCCATCGCTCCCTCTCAGACCCCTGATCCAGATAGAGCGTCACAAGGCAGCGATGTAGGTGGCCTGGCTCTGGTGAACACTTAAGGCTCCGCCCCTCACTACATAACAGGTGTGTCAAGACAAAAAAAAAAAGGCCCAAATGAAAAAACAAATCAAAGCTCCAGAAAAAAATACAACTAAGCAACAAAGAGGTAGCCAACCCATTAGATGCATACTTCAAAACACTGGTTGATCAGGATGTTCATAGAATTGGTTGAATTTGGTCACAATTAGATGAAAAAATGAAGGCTAAAGTTAAATAAAGGAAAATGTACAGGGAACCAATAGTGATGGGATGGAAACTGAGACTCAAATCAATGGAAGGGAACAGCAGTAAGAAACAACCAAACAGAAAAGAATGAAGACACAAGAATTCAAAAAAATAAGGGGAGCTTAGGAACCTCCAGGACATGTTTAAACATTCCAAGATTCGAATTACAGGGGTACCAGAAGGAGAAGAGGAAGAGCAACAAGTGGAAAAGTTATTTGCAACAGCATGGATGGAACTGGAAGGCATTATGCTGAGTGAAATAAGCCAGGCGATGAAAGACAAATACTATAGGATCTCACCTTTAACAGGAAGCTAAACAACAAAATAAACAAGCAAGCAAAATATAACCAAAGACACTGAAACAGAGAACAGGTGGACAATGACCAGAGGGGAGAGGGGAGGGAATTTCAGGGGAAAAGGGGAAGGATTTACAGGAACTAGTATAAAAGACACATGGGTAACGACTAAGGGGGGTGGAAATGGGAAGGAGGTAGGGAGCACTTGGGGGGTGGGCTGGGATGGGAGTAAAAGACAGAAAACTGTACTTGAACAATTAAATTTAAAAAAGAAAAGTTTTTTGAAAAAATAATGAAGGAGAACTTCCCCAATCTGGTAAAGGAAATAGACTTTAAGGAAATCCAGGAAGCTCAGAATCCCAAAGAAGTTGGGACCCAAGGAGTAACACACCAAGACATATCATAATTACATTACCCAAGATTAAAGATAAGGAGAGAATCTTAAAAGCAGCAAAAGGAGTTAACTACAAAGGAGTGTCCATAAGACTGTCATCTGATTTCTCAAAAGAAACCTTACAGGCAAAAAGGGGCTGGAAAGTTTTCGAAGTCATGAAAGGCAAAGACCTACGTCCAAGATAGCTTTATGCAGCAAAGCTTTCATTTAGAATGAAAGAGTAAATAAAGTGCTTCTCAGATAAGGTCAAGTTAAAGGAGTTCATCGCCACCAAGCCCTTATGATATGAAATGTTAAAGGGACTTATCAAAGAAAAAAGAAAAAAACGTACAGTAAAATGACAGCAAACTCACATTAACAACCACACCTAAAACAAACTAAGCAAACAACTAGAATAGGAACAGAACCACAGAAATGGAGATCACATGGAGGGTTATCAACAGGGGAGTGGGAAAGGGAGAAAGGGGGAGAAGGTACAGAGAAAAAGTAGCATAGATGGTGTGTACAAAATAGAGAGGGGGAGGGTAAGAATAGTATGGGAAATTAAGAAGCCAAGAACTTTTGACACATGGACATGAACTAAAGGGGGGGAATGTGGGTGAGAGGGGGTGTGCAGGGTGGAGGGAAGGGGGAAAATGGGATAATAGCATAATCAATAAAATATATTAAAAATGAAAATAAGATCTTTTAAAAATAGAAGTATTCTTTTAATATATCATAACCATCTTTACCAGGAATAAGTATTTTTTTGTAAGCACCATTCTTGGTATTGACCAAAATCATTTTTAAAATTGATGTTCATTATACTAACACTGGTACAATTTTCACTCAGAAGTTTACACTGTCACAGTGATACTCATTTGTTTAAAGAAAGCAGATTCTTAAATTTGGAGCATTTATTAACAGAAGTCCTTTGAGACACAAAACTAGTCAAAAATAATTCAAAGAAAATTCTGTCAAGCATCTTTCAAGGTACTGAGTACTTCTCTATTGTCCAGTTATTATGGGAAGCATACTTGGACCAGTGAACACCAAAATCAACCAAGCTGGTGCTATTTCAACTCTCCATTATTGGGAAATTTTCTTGCTACTGCCATACTCCTAACTAGTGACAAGTACTACTCTGAAAACCACTCCATCAAGTTTTGCTAGGTAAGATTCTTAATAGTCACTAATTTTAAAAGATTTTTAGTATTGATCTCTGAGAAAGAGAGAGAGGGAGTGAAGGAGGGAGAGACATGATTGGTTGCCCCTCCTACTCATGCATTCTTTGGTTGACTCCCCTGTATGTGTCCTGACCAGGGATGGAACCTCCAACCTTAGCACATCAGGCCAGGGCTAGAGTCAAGGATTTTGCTGAAAATAAGGATCATAACAAATTGCCATGGAAGAAAAAGAGCCAATACCCTTACACAAACGGGACATATCCCAAGTTAAGTAATAAAAAAAATCGGGAATTAGCTGCATGAAATTAATATCCTTCCATAAGCTGCATTACCCTTACATACAAATGACCTACCTACCCAGTCACCATTTTCATTACATTTACATTCTCTTTAATTTTAAGCACACATCTACATTGGTGACTTTACATACATTTTAGTTTTTACATTTTGTAACTTTTATACAGGTAGTGTACATCACAAAAATCTATACCAAGTGTGTTTTTAATTTTAATAAAATTCCAACTTAACAGCAGAATTTTGAGACATAAAGGTTGGTAAACTATTTGGTAAGCTAAATTTGGCCCACTGCCTATTTTACAAGTTACTAAAACATAGGCAGTCACTCACTAATGTGTTGCCTGCTTCTGCATTATGACAGTTAGGTAGTATGACAGACTAAATGACCTACAAGCTTAAGTTATTTACTATCTAACCTGTTACTGAAACACCTCATTGACCTTTTAACAAGACCAAAATTTTTCATCAAAAACTATTATTTAAAATTGTTACTAAATGCTCAGGATAAAATAAACTCTTTAAAAATTAAACTAATTTTTAAGTTAATACCAAATAGTGAGGCCCACTTCAGTGGAGATGGGGAAACAGGGAAAAAATAAAATTACTGACTCAGAAGTTAAGATTGCAAAAATACAACTTAGTTTTCCAATTTGTAAGTACCTCGAACTACTGAACATCACATTTTGTAAAGTCATCTTCAGCTCAGTTTCAACAGAGAGAAAAGTGGATAGATTTTGTTTTCTGCTCTGGCAATAAAGCTCCGATCAGGTTTCTTGCCTTCAAAATAACCTGAGGAAGTCAGGTCATTAACCTGAAAAAGCTACTAACTAGACTATCTGTTGCATGAGATGTTTTTAAATGGTTTTCAAAACTTTAAGACAAAAAGTATGTACTTCACTATACTGATATGACTGTTCCAAAATGTAATTTTAATTGTATTGGGGTGACAGTGATTCACAAAACCAAACAACGTTCAAGTGTACAACTCAACATCATCCGCACACTGCATCGTGTGCCTGTGACCCAAAGCAGTCTCTTTCTGTTCCCATTTACCCTCTTTGTCTACCCCCTTCTCTCTGGCTATCACCACACTGTTGTGTCCATGTTTTACCTGTATATTGTTGGGTATTTTGCTTAATCCCTTCACCTTCTTTCACCCAGCCCCCCCAAACCTCCTCCCCTCTGACAGCTGTCGGTCTGTTCCATGTAACCATGCTTGTTTCTATTTAGTTTTTTTTGTTCATTAGATTCCACATATAAGCAAGATTATATGGTATTTGAAGTGTATTTTACAGTGTTGCTAATACTGGCATAGTTCTTTCTGTTCTCTATTTACAAAAGGCCTCCATAAAATAGGTCTCCATAAAAACAGCCCTTCAATTTTATTGTTGTTAGGGTACTGAAGGGCATAAGCCTCTCTAGTGGCTTCCTTATAGCACTATAAAATGGGGTATTTGTTACCCATGTCAAACCTGTGGTTTGGGGGGCAAAATTCCACACTTTATTTGCATAGTTCACTAGAATAAAAATCTTTAAAATCTAAGTATTCCCCAATAGAATAAAATTTCCATTTGATTTTAGCACAGCAGAAAAATTGTGTAAACACAAACTCAAATTTAATTGAAAATGTTCATTATAGAAATTAACAATGCATACCATTCTTTAAACACCATGTACATTATTAATATATACTGTATATTTCCAATCACCTCCATTCTTAGGCTCAATTCAAGAAACACAATTTTAACAAGTTTTATACAAAAAATACTTCACTAAGAAAGTAGACAAACTGCACAAAAACAGTACATGTATAATGTGCATAGCAAGATTAGCTTGAAGCATCTATGTATGGCTTTCTTTAAAATAAAACTATTTGGAGAATGGGCCCATTTGGGACCTACTGTTACAGTTGATATATGTAAACTGTTTCACATCTTTTAGGCACTTGCTAACAATAGTGTTCAATCCCTGAAAAATGAATTTATCCTCCCCCCACAAAAAATTCTACCTCTGAAATAAAAACCAAGAAAATAATATGGGTAAAGTTTTATATATTCCTTTTAAATTAAACAACCACTTTTATTAGTGCATGCACAGAACTAAATTGAAAAAAATAAAATTTATGTCAAAAACTTTCTGTGCAAAATTTACACAATGAAAGGTACAAAAATATGTACAAGTTTAAATTCTTTGTTATATACAGAAAAGAAGCCCTGAAGTTTTCACTCAATCAATGAAAATGTCATAATACTTATAGTAACAGTGTAACAAAAAATTATATAGAATGTAATTTTCCAATAGAACTCCATTATTCACTGACTTAAAAAAAAAACAAAAGCTCGATCCAAACTTAAAGGTGAAAAGCTTAAGCCGATGATTCTGCCACTGTCATGAAAATATCCATTTTGAAATTCTTTCTCTGTTGGGCACATCCCTTAGGAATCTGTCCTGAAGTTTTATGTGCCATTGCTGAATCCACTATTAATGATTACTTTCAACTGCCAATAATTAGTAAATAATCTGCTTTGGGTTATGTCATACCAAAAATTTGCTAACAAAAATGGTTTGTCCCAATGTGGAGATTTTCACACACTAATAGTAATTAAACACACACAAAAATAGGATTCACTTTGCTAATCTCGCTTCAAATATCATTTCTGTAGAATTTTTAGTTTTCAAGAAAAGCCATTCTCTTGGAAGTGCTTCTATGTTCCACTCTTTTTAAAGGAATGGCGACCAAGAAAAAAAAATGGCAATTTGGTTTATGGGGGACAATTTAAATCAAACGAGCATAGTTGTATGCAAGGGGCTCACTGGAAAATATAAACAGATTCAGAAGTGTTCCAAGTTCTTTAATTGGACTTCATCTGAGACCAAGACAGTTTAATTCTTTCAAGGCTGCCCATCTACAATGCTTGACCTAGCCATTCAGAAAATCACCATGGAAAGGTGTTACAATCTCTGACAAGGGACACCAGCTTATGAGAAAAAAAATTTGTCAAAAACTTTCTGAGCATCATGAGTTTTAACTGTAGTGAATGAAATATACTCTCAAAGGAACCTATACTCTTCACAAGAACTTATATTTAGCAGATGTAGACTAAGTTCTTTACTCAAGCTCTCTTAGTATATATCCTCACAAATGATGTGAAACTCATTCAGTTCCATGATGAAAGAGCTCTCCATCTTCAGAGGAACTATACTTACCAGATTCATAAGGCTGGTGAAAGAGAAGGAATGGATGGGGCTGTCAGCCAGTAAGTCGCTGAAGAACTAAATTGGGTAAACTTTATCAAAATTTACTTTAGCCCTAACTTCCAAAGAACACATTTTTTAAAAATCAAATCAAGGTACATCTGTGTTGTGATGAATTCTTTCAAAATTAATGTGTGCAGTAATAGCATTTTCCAACATCACACATAAGACTTTCTCTTCTAAAGAATATAGCCAATGGTTAAATGTTTAATTTCTATGGAAGTAGAAAATGTCTGTATTAAGGTAAATCCACTGTTTCCTTTAATTTTACCTTTCTTTTCCTTGGTAATTACAGTACATTATTCTAACATATTCCAATCACGAGTAGCTTCCATTAAATGCCTCTGCCCATGACCAGCCCAAGCATCCTGATTGTCAAATACTCTACCACAAAACCAACAGTTAAATTTAGCCTTCAGAATATTTTCAGAGGTAGTTTTCACAATCTGATAATTGTTTTTGCTTGTCTTTTTGAGTGTTAATTTTAGCACAAATCTTTCTTTCACAGAACTAACAGGTTTAAATGTTTTGTGCCTCTTGGAAAAATCACCGTAAGTTGTTTTAGAAGTGTTATAACAAACTGGTTTCAGTAAAGCACTGATAGTTCTTTTTGACAACGAAACCTTAAGTACACGTCCATTAAATTTGGAAATTGTTTTCATTACATTTACTACTTCTGGTGCATCTGCATCTGGATGATTCAACACTACAACTGGTTGATTTCTCCTGGGACATGTCACGAGCTGTTTGGAGCTAAAGGGAAAAAGTCGCAAAGTTCTGACAGAATCTTTTGAAAGCCTCGGCGTGCAAAATCCAAATGATTCATGGACATCTTCAGGTTTAACTTTTTCTTTACACTTTCTATGTAATGTAGCTTTTTTTCTTGGACGTTCTAGGTAACTGTCCCTACACTTTCGTTTACAGTTTCTGCTTCTAGATACACCGGCAGTTTCAGAGTCTCTACTTACATGAGTTTTTATTCTTGAAATATTTTTTTTTGAAGTCTTTTTTCTATTAAAACTTCTCTCAATTGTACAATTTGTTTTATACCTCAAAACCCTGGCCTCTGAACCATCAGTGATATGTACTGGTTCCTCAGAAGATTCTGGGCATGTTGCAGTAGAACTTACCACGATTTCATTTGCTGGCATCATATCATCTACTAAGAAGGGTAAGGCATCTCTAGATGATTCTGGCTCTTTCTGCCCTCCTCCTGCAGTCTGATTAGATGACACATTGTCTTTCTGCAATGAGGATGCAGAGTTGCTTACTGACAGATTATTAGCAGCAGTCACATTTAAAACAGGGTTAAAGATTTTCAGCAATATTTTTTGTGATGTTCCCTCAGGTTTCTTTGGCTGTATATTTTGATAATAAGTACTATTTTGGACTAATTTAGGCTTAAGCAGCTCAGTTTTATTTGGCATCACACACTTCAAAAAAACAGTTTGTTTGCCATCAGGCAAAAGGGTAAAAAGAGGTGGTTTTGGAAAAGTCTCGTTCTGCTGTTTTACTGAACTCAAGACATTCGACTTAGCACCCTGATGCTCAGATACTATATTAAAAGTGGGAACAGCTTTCACTGAAGAACTTGATGGTGTTTTAATAATGTAAGGGCCTTTTAACGGCAAAGTATTTTCTGAGCTACTTTTCGTGCTCAAACAACTGCCAATGCTGGAACAAAGTGCAGGTGTCAGACAATTATTGTTTGGTTCTACCTTTAAAAAAGGTGTTCTGCAAGGCTCTTTTGTTGTAGTTCCACAAGCTTGAGAACTCTCACTCTGGACAGTGTTAACACCTTCAAATTTCCCATTATTAAATGTTAAAATCATCCCAGGTTTCTTGTTTAAAAGAAGAGAAGCAGGTACTCCTTGATTATTAACCTGTGGTTTTCCTGAAACAACATGTAATCCAGGCTTGTTAGCAATGTGCAATGGTACAAAAAAGCCTTTTGGAGTCTGGACGAATATAGCTTTTTTTGGTTCTGAATTTACAAGTGGACTCGGCATATACAAAGAACCTAAATTTTGTGTAGTGGCTCGCAGTTTGTCTTTTACAAGCTGCTGTGTTATTATTGCATCTGACTGAGTCTTAAGTAATGTGCCAATACCTGAAATTCTAGGTGTCTTCTCTAAATCTCTCACATCTTGTGACACTGACAGCATTTGTGTTTCTTTTCCACTACATTTTAAATTCAGATCATTTGTAGGCACATTAATATCCATACTACCAGACGGAACTGGGAAGATGCCTTGTACTCTGAAGTCTTTTGAAGATTCAATAATTTTGCCTTCTCCCTCATGTTTCTGAGAAGACTGGTCGCAGTGATGTGACAGGCTTTTATCTGGAGTGTCACTACACTCTTGTTTTACATCAGATTTTAATATATCTTGAAGTAACTGGTTTATTTCAGGTGGCAAAAATTCTGATGCCTGTTTGCTCTGCAGAGAGAACACAGATGTGATCCTAGGCATCAAAGGTGATTCAACGCTGGAAACGTCATCCCATTTAGATTTTTCAGCCATGCTCTCTAAATTTTGGTTTTCATTAATGTATAGGTTCTGGCCATCAGTGTTTTGTCCTTTTTCTAAAACATACTGTTCTTCTATATCAACTTGAGCTTTTAAAGTTTCATCTTTAGTATTTAAAAGGCTAACAGATGCTAACATGCTATCTGGGTTTGAGCTCTCCTTTTTCACTAGTGATAAGACTGATGCACTTATTGGTTGTTGACCAACTGTCCTACTTGATGAAGATTCTCTTTGAGGGCTTTCACATGCTGTTCCTGAAGACCTCCGACGTTTATTAGAATTATTCACTTTTGAGTAATTATGAAAAGGTAATGATCCTTGTTTGGAACATTCAACAGGTGATTCAGAGTTGACATAATTAATGCAGTAGTTATGCATATCTCCACTATGGTATGCATTTGGTTTGGTAGCAGAGTTGATTTTATCTGAACTTTTAATGGCAGTACCTGATACCTCAGGGTAACTATGAGTAATATGACTTCCTAGTAAGTCAACATTATCTCTTGTTTCAACTTTTGTACTGAAATTCACTGGTGACGTAATTAATCCTGATGATGATGTAAAAGATACACTTTTTTCATCATCCACAGTTTGAAGGGTATTACTCGTCTGAGACAGCAAAGCTATTTCTTTTTCTGAAGTTACTTTCCCTGCAAGGATAGGAGGCGAACATGAAAATGTAGTTGCTTTCATGTAAACTGTGTCACTTAAGTCAGTTGTTCCTCTTGTTAGAAATCCAGTGGTGTCCAAAGTCTGTAGCTTCAAATTAGCAGTACTGTCCTTTGCAGCATCTGACTGTGAACCTGATGAATATAAATTCTGTTTATTGGTAGGCAACAATTTTATTACAATATGTTGTTTTCCATCCACCATCTTGAAACCCATAAACTTAGCACTATAGTTAGCTGGAACTGTTATTCTATTGTTCTTCACCATTAACACTGTAGGTCCTTGTACAGCAGTCTTCAAGAAACCTGAAGTAGAATTTGACAGCTCTTCAGCTCTATTATGCTGTCCAGTGGACAGAATAGTTGGCTTTTCTGACTCTGACTCAGCAGGTTTGTTATTGCTTTCACAGTGCAGTCGTTCATCCTTTTCATTTAAATGTTCTTGAATAAGATGGCTCTGGCCTTCAGATTTAGCCTGTGTTTTGTTCACTTTTTTTTTAAGTACTTCAGTGTTTTTCTCTAGAATTTGGTCACTTCCACTGTGGATTTTCTTGCGTTTCCAGAATGTCTTCCTTGATGCACCTATTTTGTATCTTTTCAGTATTAGCTTAAGTCCTACTGAAGTCTTTGCCATCTTTTTTTCATATTTGTCTTTTTCTAATTTTTCTTTTGCATATAAATGTTCTTTGTGTAATGTCAGAACATGTCTTACAAGGTGCTCTCTCCTTGCGGCACCATAGCTACAATATTGACAAGTGAAGGGAAATTTAACAGAATGAACATGAAGGTGCTTCTGAATCTCTCCTCTAGTAAAATATATATGATGATATTTATCACTTTTATAATGGATTTCATTGTGTCTATGAATATGCTGAACAAATGTGCCAACATCCAGGGTGGAAAATTTGCACTTTTCACACTGAAAACTACCATTTACACAATGTGTGGATACAAAATGTTTTGTCAAGTCTAATAAAGTATATACATTCTCATTGTTACAAATGTCACATTTTACTAAAGTGCTTCTATGGGTTCGTCTGTGTTGTTTAAATGCCTGAAAGTCATTTGCTGAAAAACTGCACATTTCACAAGGATATGAAGGTAATTCGCCATGGTGCCACATTTGAAAGTGTTTTTGCAAATCATTTGGGCTGTATCGAGTGCTATCTCGGCATTTTAAACAGCTGAAACTGAGTATTTTTGCAGACATTTTTATACCCTCTTCTTCAACCTTCTCAGGCTTATGGACCAACACACACTCCCCTACACAGCTTACAGCCTTTATAGCGATAGATTTCCTTGCAGTCTGTGGTTTATGCTGAAATAATTTTCTGTATTTGTCAACTTCATGTTTCAGTAGGACTTCATTTGGAATATTTATCTTCGGCAAATAAATTTTCACATTCTTCAGTTTATAATGAAAATCACTTTCTGAAATTTTTGGTTCAATTACTGATCTGATAGTATCAATTACATCACTTTTCGTATCATAATCTTTTCTTAAAGTAGCTTGTTTTTCATCAGAGAATAATTGTTTCTGTTCAGATGGCATGATTTAACTGAAAAAATCCGGATTTCTTTTTTTCTGAAAACTCTTGAAATTACTGGAAACTTAAACAGGAAACAATACTGTGCTGAAACATCTTCGAAATACCAGGATTTTTCCCACATTAACTCACCTAAAACCAAACAAAGAATTGAAACTTTTATCACAAAAGTATCAGTAAATTTCATATATTTAAGTTTATTTTGACAGAAGATAGGAATGCTGCTCAAATACATAAATAAAAGATGTAATAAAAGATCTGTTAATTATTTTAAGAACAGCTTACCAAGAAGCAAAAGTTTGAAGTAGAGATATCTCTAACATGAAAGTCAGGGAATACAAGAAGTTTTATTTCCAGCTTTGCTCTGTGGCACTGGACAAGCTTCAACTTCTCTGCACCTCAGCTTCCTCATCTAAAGAAAACCAGAATTGGAAAGGCACTCAAACTCTAAGATTTTTATATTAAGTTGATGTTATAGTTTTTAAACAGGATTTTTAAAATCTTAAAAAGAGAGCCATAAAACTTTACGTTCTAATTACACACTTGTACCCTTAACTCTCTCACTTGTTTATTAAACTGACTTTAAAGATAATTGCTTGGAAAAATTTCAACAAACTTCTCTCCGTATTTCCTACTTCTTTAGTATATCAGGGACAACTTATATATAAAATCAAAGTTTCATTCATCTAACAACAACAAAATGACATTATCTGCTCTCAAGTTATCATTACTAACATGTAAAAAAAAAAAAGAACAAAACAGAAGAAATGAAAAAAAAAAAAAACCCCAGCACATTCCCTTGAGGTACTCCTAATATCTACCTAATAATACCTTTCTGGATGTTTGGCTGAATCCCTACCTTTCTGTATCCCTACCATTTTGGCTGTTTGGCTTTTTGTTCCTAGAACTCAGATGGCACCAAGTAAAGCCTTGGCAGATTAGAATGTACCCATTACTATTTGCTTCCATTAATTCAAATACTTATTGATTTATGTTATTCTTGCCAAGTGTCAACCTGTACCTTAGGTTCTTCATCTATAAAATAAAAAATATTAGTACTTCCCCTACCTATTTTATAAAATTGTTGTGAAGACTAAATAAGAAAATATATGTAAAAGTATCTAGTAAAGTGCTAAATAAGTTGCAGCTACCATCAGTATTGTATGTAACTATCATGGATGAGGGAATATGATTCAAATTTCAGAAGAATAAAAAACAGTAAAGTAGTAAGTTATGACAGTTCCTACCAATATGACAGGATATTGCTGAAATTGGAACCTGAGTACTAAATGTTCAGTAGTAAAATATCAAACTATGTAGTTGGAAGAATTACATTTTCTTACTTTAGTGGTCTTAAATATATATATGAATAATAGATAAAATTAGATAAGCTAATGAAAATAAAGTGAAAAATCACATGAAGGTTCATCTATAATGTCCACCCAAAGGTCTCAGCTTCAGATTTCAGTTAATCTAAATAACTAGGAACTTTACTGTCTTAGAAATCCTTTATTTGAGGAATATAATTAGAAATTACATTAGTCTTATATTAAAAGGCCCTTTTAATATTACTCAAACTTAATAATTTTGGGATGGGTCTAAAAACACATTTTTCAATATACACATATATATTTGTATGTGTGTATACACACGCGCACACACACACACACACACACACACACACACATATGCTAGCCTGATAAATTCATTAGAGAGGTAGCAGTTTACAGAATTTTTAAAAAAGATTTTATTTACTTTTTGAGAGACAGGAAGGGAGGGAGAAAGAGAGAGAGAGAGAAACATCAATGTGTACTTGCCTCTTGTGTGCCCCCTACTGGGGACCTGGCCCACAATCCGGGTATGTGCCCTAACTGGGAATCGAGCCAGTGACCCTTTGATTCACAGGTCGGCACTCAGTCCACTAAGCTACACCAGCCAGGGCAGTTTACAGGATTTTTTTACATACTATGCCTAATACAGTAAAATATTAAATTTTTACTGTAAATTTTTTACTATATTACTTAAAGCAAAATGTAAAAAGCTTTTTCTTCAAAAGTCAGAAAAATAATAAATGGCTAGAAAAAAATTCAATGATCTTTGGTGGTTATTCATACCAACTGAAAACATTCCCTAAAGATGATCACATTTTCAACAGTGACAAGTATCATAATTACATATAGAGTTTTCACCAGACCAGAATCTGAAGGTAGGGATCAAACATATGAAACTTTTTAAGAACACCTAGAACTAGAACTAGGTGTGGTTCTTAAGAATTAGAAATGGTTCTTCTCCATTTGTTGGTCATTCTGGATTGTCCATACCCAAGCTTTTCCATTTTTACATACGATTAAGAGGATTCTATATCATGAGTTTCACTGCAAAAGGCAAATTGTTTTTACAGTGATATTTCATGTGTTCAAAAATATAAGTGTAATGCTAAAAAAGAACAAATTTTAATATCTAAATATCATTAATTCCATTTCAAGATTTCCATGCAACTTAAAAAATTTTCTTATAAGAAAACGTGTATCTTAAAGTCTGACAACCAGTTTAAAAATATGATTTTAAATAACTCGATCAACTAACACTAATTAATACCTACTATGAAATGAGGCATTCTGATTGGTGTTGTGGAGAGATTCAAAAACTTGGTCCTTACCTATTTGAGGCTTACTCAAATATGAGTAAGCCTGATATGGGAGGACATTATGGGAGGCCATATACTTTAAAATATTTCTTATTAAGAGTTGACCAGCCAGGAACCTTACCTTTTCAATATACAAAGAACAGAAAATAATTAAGTAGAATATATTACAGCCAAATCAGATGCCATAAAGTTTACCCATTAAAGTGCATGCCCTTGCCCTGGCTGATTTGGCTTGGTTGGAGCGTCATCCTGTAACTGAAAGGTTGCAGGTTTGATTCCTGGTCAATGCACGTAACCTAGGTTACAGGTTCAACCCATGGTCCAGGCGCACATGGGAGGCAACTGATTAATGCCTTTCTCTCGCATCGATGTTTCTTTCTCCCTTCCTCTCTACAAGCAATGAAAAAATGTCCTTTGTGTAAGGATAGAAAAATAGATAAGTAAATAAAGTGCATACCCTTTCCTCACAGGCAAAACAAACCTGAAAGAAAGGGACTAACTTATTAAGAAATCCACTCAACTTTCACTTAAGTTTGACAATTGTTAATTAATGCTGAACACAGTATTAGGGGAATTTTGTGTATTTTAGGGAGTTCTGGGTTTGTTATTTTCCCCAAATTTTAAATTTGGAGTATCTATTTTGCCTTCAATTTTGTTCAACCTGTAGTATATATGGAAGCAATCAAAGATGATACCCTGGTAGCAAATTATGTTAGGGTTGCCACATATGGGAACAAAATACATTGCCATATCTGGAACACTTCAGAAAAATTTCAGGAGAAATTTACTATAATTTTAAGCTTCCAACCTATTAGCTAATGATCTTTTCACTATAGTCTCTCATCTCTACTCCAATATGGATTTTAAATCTTCTATTTAAACGACTGCCTTCTAAATATGTATTATTTCTTAATAAGACTTGACCAATATCTCATCAAGCCTTGAAATAATATAATTTGTATACAGTGACTGGCCCTTTAATATAACCTGGAAAGTTTCATGCACAAAGATAGAACTTAAGCAACCTGACTTCCTTCCTTTCCCAATTCCTCACTGAAACACAAACCAAAAAAAATTCTAAGACAATCCTACAAAATGGCTAGGAACTAGAAAACATTCCCTATATATACTACAAGGCATTGGTAGGAAATGGTCCAGAGAAAGAAGAGTGAAAATAAATGCTAACCAACTTTCAAGTACTATTTGTAAAGAGGAGGCCTACTAGGGGACATTCATTCAACCAATATTTGATGAGTATCTATTAATATTATTCCCTGAGTAAGGAAATGAATAATATAATATTGTCTAAACATACCTTGGTAGAGAAAGCAAGGGCTTGAGAGGAAGATTCTGCGGAGTCCCCTGGGGTAACAGAAATCTCCAGCTGAGGTATGGGGAGGAGAAGATGAATCCAGAGCTTTGATCTGGGTCCAGAAGCCAACCAGAGTTGGGGGTTGCTAGCACCTGCTATCAGGGGAAAAGGGAAAATTATTTCTGAATGAAGACATATCTTCCTAAATCCCTAGGTATCTTCTGCTTAAGATTTCTGTTTTTTCCATAGAAGTAAATAATTATTTCTAAGCTGTTAGAAAATTATTACATTAAAACTTTCCTCTGTCCTCAACTAAAAAAAAGGAAAAAGAAAAGAGTATCCTCTAAGAATTCATCTCAACTACCAGTGCCTATAAAGCACTGGGTAAAGCTGCTTTACCCATTGGGTAAAGCTAAGAGCTAACCCATTTTATACTTTTTAATCTTCAGAAGGATTTGGAACTGGCAGCACCACATAACTCTAAAATGGAAAAGGAGGAGGGAGTTGAAATAAATAGAAATTTGGAGAAAGTTGCTTGAGTTCTGGTTAGATGCTAAGAGTCCTCCCTATTCAATGCCAGGTAACTGCTGTTACCCCACCACAGTAGATGTCTGGAGGTTTATTCTCTGCAGAGAGTAAAACAGAATATCTGAAATAGGGGATACCAGACACACTTGAGAGAGTGGGAACCTAAAAGTAACAATCAGAGATGTTCATTACAGCCATTTACAAAAATCATAAAATTAAAAATAACTAAGTATCAACCAAAAAATAAATTATTGTATTTTTATTCAGTGGAATATTACTCAATTTTTACAATATACTATAAACACACATTTATTAACAGAAAGATATCCAAGATGTAGTGTGTGAAAACAAAAAAACGAACAATAGATATATCAGGCTTTCATGTATCCAACTACAACTATCGATATACATACAGAGGAGATGGATAAGCAAACAGTCACAAGGACCCACACAAATCATATACACATAAAAATGTTTAGTGATAACTGGTTTTCCTTAGGTCAGTATTTCTTAAAATGTTGTCGCTGGATCTCTATGGCCTCCATAGCGGCATACAGTATTTCCTTATCATAGCACAAGTAAACAGATTACATTTGTATGTAACAAGAATGACAATCTTGTCACCTCTAGACCACACTATTATGATACTTCATCAAAAATGCCATGAAACTATGAAACCATTCCAAGGTTTCATGAAACCTTGAAATTCTAAAACAAAGCAAGTGACTTCTGTGTAAACAGTTTTTCCTAAACTAACTTAAAGTAGTAAACTTGAGCTAAAACAAAACTGTTGTTTGTTTTGATTGCTTTTCTATACTGAAGGTAGAAAAGCAATCAAAATAAAATAGCTTATTCAGTCCTGTACTCCTCATATAAAAACAGAGGTGTCCAACCACACCACTATAGAAAAGTTTATTACAAAGTTAGTAGCAAACATCATATACAGAGAATGAAGAATTATGCTATTAGATGTCACTCATGCTTTGTAAATTCATGCTATAAGTGATTTTTTTTATTGTGTATTTAACATTTATTTTGTGAGCCCTGATGTTACATAAAAGGTAAGGGAACTGGCACCAGCAGAATAGCAGCTATGGAATGTTCTATACAAATAAAAAATTACATGTATTTTATAGAGGAAATTAATAATATGCCTCATTATCTTGGTATATTGTTAAAAGAATAAAAAAGTAAAAATTGTAACATCAATCTATTTTTTCTATATACTGCACAAACGAACAGCAAGTATAATGTTGAACTATTTTTACATTAATTAAGCATATCACTGCTTAATAAAGTTCTAGTTTTGATCAGACAAAATTTTATTTAGAATTTTCTTTTTCCAATGCTTGCTGTAAGTTTTTCTATTTCATCTGCTCTGTAAAGTTCACTACATATGAGAACTGTCTGCATCTTAAAACAGCATACACTATACTGACTTTCCAGTTCCAGGCAAGATGTCAGCAGAGGTAAACATGGTTCTGCTCTGCACACAACCACATCAAAATTACAACTAAAATATAGGACAACTATCACTCAGAACCATCAGAAACTGAGCTGAATGGAAGTCTGAAACTAAGGAATTAAAGAAACCACATCCATCCAGACTGATAAGCAGGTCAGAGATGTAGAACTGGCGGGTCCCACATCCATGTGTGGTGAATAAAAATTCAGAAGGGATATCTCAGGTGTGAGAAGTTCCAGCCCCACACCAAGGGCCCCTAGGCCAGGGTTTCAGTGTCAGGAAGACAAATTACCAGAACTTCTGGCTGCAAAAATAGTGGGGATTGAGTTGGTGGAAGAAATTTCTGGAGTCCCAAGCAGTTCCCCTTAAAGAATCCACATACAGACTTATTCAGATTCACTTCTGAGCTCCAGCACCAGGGCAACAGCTTGAAAAGTACCAGTGGCATACAAGGAGAAACTGAAGTGTCTGGCATCAACACAAGGGCTGGGGGACAGCTTTCTTCCAGACAGAAAGGTGGGCAGATCCACTGTACCTTTTCTGAACCCTCCCCACACACAGCCACAGAGCCACAGAGCCAGCAGGCAGAGGCAACGTCTGAGACTCCATCAACCTAGCAAACATTGTTTTCCCTGCCCTGGAGATACCCTGAGACACCATCACACCTGACTTATGGTCCCACCCAAACTGTTAAACCATGACTTTTCCATATGAATGGCTGGTCTTGGCTCATGCTTCACAACTTCCCAAATCCTACCAAACAAGCAACAGCCAGCCTCTGTTAGCCACCAGGTCCCGTACCTCTTGCTAAGTGGCCCAAGGCCGGGCACTAGGAACAGCCAACCTTGACTCACAGTTTGGCTTTACCTGGGAATCTCCAAACTAGCACAAGTAGCAGCCATCTCAGATTGCTTTATACTTCATGAAGGGTGACCCCAGGGAGAACACAGGTAGAGGCTAACCTTGGCCAGCAACAACGGGAAACCCTAGAGCCTACATGCCCAGTGGAGAGGTACACACCAAGTGGGAGCACTATGACCCTGTTCCTGTACAGCCAATCTTCCATGCAGGAAGGTTGGTGGTCAGGGGTCACAGCCAGTGCTTGCCACTGACTGGCTGGGGTAAATTCCCCACTGACCTGCTAACAGCAATCAAGGCTCAACTACAAGACAAGGGTGTACGCAGCCCACACGAGGGGTACTCTCGAGTACCCAGCTTGGGTAATAGGGAGGCTATGCCACTGAACACTACAGGACACCTACTACATTAGACCACACTACGAAGACAAGGAGCCATAGCAGCTCTATCTAATACACAGAAACAAAAAACAGGGAGGCTGTCAAAATAAGCAGACAAAGAAACATGGCCAAAAATGATGGATCAAAACTCCAGAAAAAGAACTAAACAAAATGGAGATAAATCAGATGTAGAGTTGAAAACAATGTTTATAAAGATGCTCAAGGAACTTAGTGAGGACCTCAACATGAAAAAAAAATCCAGTCAGAAATGATGGATACACTAATTGAAATAAAGAACAATTCAGGGAAACAACAGTGGAGTGGATAAAACCAAGAATCAAGTCAATGATTTAGAACATAAGAAAGCAAAACCAATCAATCAGAACAAGAAGAAAAAAGAACAACCCAAAGAATGAGGATAGTGTAAGGAGCCTCTGGCACAACTTAAAGCATTCCAACATTCACATCATAGGGGTGCCAGAAGGAGAAGAGAAAGATCAAGAAATTGAAAACCTATTAAAAAATAATGAAAGAAAACTTCCCTAATTTGGTGAAGGAAATAGACTTGCAAGTCCAGGAAGCATGGAGACTTCCAAACAAGATGGATGCAAAGAGACCCACTCCAAGACACATCATAATTAAAATGCCAAAGGTTAGTCTACAGTCATACCACCATAACATGCCCAATCTCGTCTGATCTGGGAAGCTAAGCAGGGTCAGGCCTGGCTAGTACTTGAATGGAAGACTGCCTGGGAATAGCAGGTGCTGTAGGCTTTTAATCTACAGCCATACTATCCTAAGTGCACTCGATCTTGTCTAAAATGCCAAATGTTAAAGATAAAGAGAGAATCTTAAAATTAGCAAAAGAAGTTAGTTACCTACAGGGGAATTCCCATAAGACCGTCAGCTGATCTCTCAAAAGAAACTTTGCAGGCTAGAAGGGATTGGCAAGAATATTCAAAGTCATGAAACGCGGGGGCCTACAGCTAACAGTGCTCTACCCAGTGAAGCTATCATTTAGAATTGAAGGGCAGATAAAGAGCTTCTCAGACAAGAGAAAACTAAAGGAGTTCATCACACCAAACCATTATTACATGAAATGTTAAAGGAATTTATTTAAGGAAAAAAAGCTCAAAACTATGAACAATAAAACTGCAATAAATACATATCTATCAACAACCAAATCAAAAAACAAACTAAGCAAACAAGAAGAACAGACAGAATCATGGATATGGAGAGTGTTCTGATGGTTGCCAGATGGGAGAGGGTGTAGGGGACTGGGTGAAGAGGTGAGGGGTTTAAGAAGTACAAATAGGCAGGTACAGAATAGCCATGGAGATGTAAAGTACAGTCTAGAAAGTGGAGTAGCCAAATAACTTATACCATGGCCTATGGAAATGAACAATGGTGTAGGGATCACTTGAAGGCATGGGAAGTGCTGGGCGGAGGGGGACAAAGGGGGAAAATTGGGACAACTGTAATACCATAAACAATATAATTTTGAAAAACTGCATATCCTACACCAACAAAACCATACGGGCCTGGTACTTTTGTGGATTTTAGGCCGTATAATTTTGCAAGTGGTTTCCAAGCTCCCTGAATTTGCTTGAGTCACTTTTGGCAATTTGTATTTTCCTTGAAAAAAATTAATTTCCTTTACATTTTCTAAGACTCTCCCATAATCACTTTTTACATTCTATCCTACAAATAAAAGCATCATATATATATATATATATATATATATATATATATATATGACTTAAATGTCCATGAATAGGAAAATGATTAAATCACAGAACAGCCACATGAAAACATTATAAAGAGGTATATGTACTGAACTGACTTATAAAGATTTACTGTGAACTTTTTGGTGTTTTAAAAAGGGAACTTCCTTGGGGAGGGAAGATAGCGACGGAGTAGAAAG